ACAAGTAATTCCTACAACCAGTACAAAAAAAAAATCAAAATCTTAAATACAAAATTCATTAACAAATTTACCTTTATGTCGTGGAATAATATCACCTAATTTATTTTTAAGAACAATAAGTCCACAAGCAAGAATTAAACCAACAAATAAAGCTTTTAATACATCTGTAATAACATTTTTATTTGTTTTCCAAAATAATTCAATTGTTTGTCGTAAACGATTAAACCATGATGGTTGTTTAATCATTTTTTTTAGATCAGTTTTAATTGATGGTGTATAACGAGATGATGTCATTGAATTTGGACGAGTTGATGTTATTGTTTTCGATGGTTCATATTGTTCAGAAGACATATTTGCACTTGCAGCACGAGTTCTATCACGTGCTGAATCAATTAATTGTTGAATTTCACGACGATGACGAGCAACTAAAAAAAAAAATCAATAACAAGATTCCTTATAAGGTGCCGAAAATACGAAATTAAAAAGGTATTTATAAATAACTTTCCTAGATTCAGTTTTGAAATTTTTTCTTCTAAAAACTCATTCCAATCGAATTAAAATATATAAATATTTTTGATCAGCTCATCACACTCTATCTAACCATATAAAAAAAAATTCTGCTTTAATTTTTTGTATTTCCAACATCTTATAATAAATTAATAACAAAAATACTTACTTGATTGTTCAACATCAACAGCTACAGTTGATATTGGTAATGTATTTGATCGATCTGAATCTCGTCCTACAGCAATCGAACGTGTTTGAATATGTGTTTCTCGTCCTGGACGACGTAATGTAGAATATTCCGCAGATGACGTATCTGTTTCTGAATCACTTAATTCAATTAAACCATGTTTAGGTCGTGAATGTGTTGTTGTCGATATATTAGCACGTGTACGTGATGGTGAACTCTTAGTTGGTGAACGTGTTCGTGATCGAAGTTGTTCAAGTCGTGCACGAAGTTGTTCACGATTACGTTGTGTTATTGGTGGAACAGTTTCACCATAATTAAGTAATTCTTGACGTAATTGTTGATCAGTTAAAGGCATGTTCTTTTTTTCCTTCTTGGACCTCTTACAAAAGAAACGTTTGTCTGAAATTTCAACAAATTGAAGATACGAAAAAAAAAACCGTTACACAACAAAGAATGAATGTTTTGAACAATGTCTTGATTATCTTTCGTTAAATTAACAACCAATCAGAAAATATGATACTTGAAGTGACATCTGAATTACATGAAATATCTTCTTTTTTTTGTTTCTTTATACTTCGTTTTAATTTACAGAAAAAAAAAACAAAATTTCATCATTTGTTTTTTTTCTTTAGATTAAAAATCTTTTTTTGTTTCGCTCTGCTGTTATTTTTATGAATAATCCATTGTTCTACACATCCTTTTTTTCTCTTGTTTCGTATTTTCTTAATAAATTAATTAATTATATTTATCAAAATATAAAAATCTATTATTAAAAATATAAATGTAGTTATAGAAAAATTGAATTCAATTGAAAATTTCCATATGACTCGTTCGAATGAATGTGCAAACAAAGTATTGTTGCTGCCATGATACTTGTTTGTCTTTATCGTCGTCTAACATATATTCTGAAAATGAAAAAAAAGAAAATGTCATTGTCTTAAACAAACAAATCAAGAGTGGGGAAAAAAAAGAAAAAGAGAAGTCGCCATACGTCAAATGAATTTATTTGCTTGCAACAATGTTTCATACCTTGATGTATTCATTTTCAATCTCTTCTAAAATAAAGATAGAAATCATATAGTAGAGAAGCAGAGAGAGAAACATACTAACCGCAGTAGAAAAATATTGTGCGATTGA